AAGCCACCATCGAAGAAGAAACTCTACTCAGTTTTGAAAAGGGAAACGGGGAAGCTCTTGGTGAAGTTACTACCACCGAGGTGAATGTTACCGATGATGAGACATTTACTGATGATGCGGACGAACCTCACATGAAGCAGAAGCCAATGAGACGGAGACCAGTACGGAAGAAGATACGTCCCATAAAATTAAGAGACTTTGTTGAATTGTAATTTTGTCTTTGTAATTCTGTACAGTTAATTAAGTTATTGTTAACTGTTATTGGTTTATTGTATGTGGTTATTGTTCGGGACGAACAATATTAAGGAGGGGCAGTGTTGCGTCATCGAGGTAACGTGACTGGTGTGGCGCCCTCTATTTTCTAGAACTATCTTGTTTTTTTATGAATGCTCTAGTATTTACTAGATAGGGTAGGCGGGTATATATAAGAGGGGACAACGTGACGCGAGAAGGTAAGGTAATGTGTGTGTAGATAGTGAGTAATTGATCTGCGGTCAGAAGTATTATTAACGTTCGTTGTTATAGTGTTTGTTTAGTGCGATTGTTGAAGTTGAGTGTATCGGTAAAGTTGTATTCGGATAGAATAAACCAGTTTTATTAAGCAAAGAACTTGTGTCGCAAGTTTCGTCGGAACGAAGTTACGGAAAGTTAATTAACAAACGGAGACGTAACAATATTATATATATATACACATAAACTTCTAAGATTCCCACAGTATTAACTGGTTCGGTTTTGGTTTTTAATAAATGCTAAAAGAAAAAAAGGGATAGTTACTAAACCATACAAAACTAGAATAGTTTTTAAAATATATTCATCAACTTCAAACTATACAATATACCATTTTTCCTAAGTTGGGCAGCTAAAAACAGTTCTTTTGCTAGTTCTATGTGCTGGAGATTGTTTATCAATTCCATTTGATTTCTTAGTAATTGTACATCATACAGAGGGCAGAGTTTTTCATATTCAAATCCATGGACAGGAACTGTGAAGTAGTACTCTTCACTGAGCTTAATTATCTGAAGAAAAAGATGGAAAAATGTCACTAAAACCAAGTGTATGCTTTCAAAATATTAAGAAAAAAGATATTGTTTTCAATAGTTACAAAATTAGATTAAAAATATTCTAGTAATATATTCACAAAAAAAAACCAAAAATATCCAAAACTAAACATTAAAAGATTTAATATACAAATTTAACTTGCCAAGATCCTCAGTGACATAATGTTAAAAAGCTGATCAGATGAGACTAAACAACTTTTTCCAAATAAATTAATAAGAGTTCATTTAATTTCAGGTAATACTGTACAGGATAATATATTCTTCAGAAATAATCATTAATAAATAATATATGATAAATAACATGGTATATATATAAATATATATGTTACCACTTGTTACAATAAAAAATCCTATTAAGAAAATTCAAACAGAGTTCTAAAATTTACAAATCAATTGCAAAGGAATAAACCGTAATGAAAGCAAAAGAAATAAAAGCTTGCAAATTTTCATATCTTATACTACACCTCAGAGCTGACATTAATTTTTTTGTTTATGAAAACTTTATAACTACTTTTATGAAACAAACAAATTGGAAGGGGGAAAACACTTAAAAACAGGCATTTTCTTACAGTATCTGATAGGTAACATTGGCAGGTTTGCTCATCCAATTTGAGTTGTTTTTCTAGATTAATTTTTAGGCCTCAAGTAATGATTTACTTTTCTGCTTATGTTTAGAATAAACTATTCCACATTCAGACAATTTTTCTATGATTACTAATAAGGGGTTGAGACTATGATGTTATACATATATATAAAGAGGGTAGATATTTTTTCTATCTTGAAAATAACTTTATATCGAAGTGGGTCTCTGTAATCTAGAAACTACAAATTCTTAATATTACAAAAGCCAACCTTTTCAATAATTTCTGCTGAACATTCTTGAGCATTGTAGATATCTGAAGATTCATTTTTCTCCTGTATAAGCTGTCTGCAAAAACGTTTTGTAAATTAGTTTATTGAAGATGACAGATTTAAGTACTGCCCTTTCATACAAAAAATTTATATCTTGACCACAGTACACAAGTGCCTACCAACTCATAACTGTAATGTGTAAAATGCCTTATCAGAAATAAAAATTACTTGACATTGGTAAATTTATCAAGCAAAACATTTTGAAAATATGAGGTTACATTACATTACGTCTGCATTCCAGTCTTTCAAGAGGTCTTTTTGGAACAACCAAGCTATTATTGCATACAAATAATTCAATAAATATTGAATGGTATTTTAAGAGACAAAACACAACACAAACTAGGATGTATTTGAACATGTTTAATTTCACCATTTCTGGACAGTTGAGATGTCATTTTCACTGATATCCCTTGATTTGTTCCTTCTTAAAGTGGAAGAATGGAATTGGATGAAATTAAAACAAACTTACTAAATAGTATCTAGTTTCACCTTTAAAAATATCATATAATTTGATATAGTTTTTTTTTCTTATGTTATGAAATTTCTAAAATTGTTGCGAGATATTGTTTTGAAAAAGAATTTAAAATATTTCCTTTCATCTTAGAATTTGAATATTTTTATTTCACATCAGAAAGTTCCATTTTATGTATCCAGACAATTTCAACTTGAATGATGTTCATTAAGGTTTCTTTTGATAATTTATTTTGCTGACTGCAGTGTAGACACCATAAAATTCTGGCTACAAATCATAAAAAACAGTAAAAACTGTTAAAGACTTATTGCTAACCTATGGTTTGACCTATAACAATAGTGTCACCATCACCTTTGTCAGGCTAAGTATCAAACTTTTTGCTATCAATTAATATTCTTGGTCAACATTAATTTATATCTTATTTAAATTGTTCTAATATGATAAACTTAACAGTAATATTCACTCAATAAAGAAGGATTTGATGCATCAAAATATTGTGCTGTCACAACTAAACTCACCTGAGGTCTTGTCACAGAAAATTTCTGTAGCTTTCAAAGAGATTTAAATCAACATGAAAACATTTTCAAGGAATGAAAAAACTTCTAAAGGAACTATATAAACATGTAAGATTTTTAGTGTGTTTCTTCCTATTTTCATCTCTCAGGAGTTTCAAGTGCATTTTAAAGGAAAGACTCCTATGAAGAAATAAGTTTTGTAATTATTATTTTTTTTGCAAAATAGTTGAAATAATTATTTGTACTTAAATTTTGAAATTTGATATGAACATGTGCACTCTACACCTGAAAGATGCTCACCTCTCATGACAGGATTAAGATAAACGTCATTAATTATATACGACATTCACAAACTCAAGCATACATAATTGCATATTCCAACCTAAAATATCCTATTTACATAATAAACTTTCATTGATATTATAGTATACTTTAATAGGAGAGTGATACAGCTTCTGTGCGCAGTAATCCCCATAAGCACTAGAAGTTGAACATAAGCTCATTCTTTCTGCAGCAATGTTTATTTTCAGACATGTTTCACCATGTTTGTGCTTTTTGTTTCTAACCTCTGGTTGCTATTTGTTATGTGGTCTTTCCTTAATTTGCTTGATTATATTAAAGAATGATACTAAAATTTAAACTTATCAGTTACAACTGTCATTTGAATTATCTTCAATTTGATTTTCTTTTAATTGACTTTTTACTTTTGAGACATGTCTCATTTTCCATTTCCATTTTTTAATTCAATGTAAGAGTTTCGTCTAGTACTCTTGAAAGTTGTCTTTAGGCCAATGCACAATCTTTATACCCAGCTCATTTCCTTTCTAGCTTATAACAAAAACGATTCTACATATTTTACCAAAACAGACTACCATACAGGCGTGTATGCAGAATGTTTGAAAGGGGGTTCTAACTTGTGAGATCAAAAGCCAAAACATATTGTGAGAAGCACAATCAGCATTCAAAGCATGCTAATGGTACAGGGGTCTGGAGGCATGTCCCCTAAGAAAATGTGTAAAAATATAGGTGCTATTAGATTAAATCTGGATGCAATTTTGCATGAAATACAGCTTAAACAATTACATGAAAAGTCAACAAATCATCATTCTGTTGTAATACTACATGGGAAGCTAGACTTAAATTAGTATAAATATGCATTTTTTATTATAGTAAAGTACTATACTATCTACATTCAGAGTAGTTATTAATGGTTAAATTATATTACTAATTTAAACAACTCTGCACAACAATTGTTTATTAGCTATTCTGATCATTGGCTATCATATATGTACCTATATGCACTACTGAAATAACATGTTAGCATACTCAATTCTTCTGGTGTGCTTTTCCAAAAATAATTTATATACAGTTTCATTATTGATAGCAGTGTCATAATGATTATGTATTAAAGCTGAAGCACTCAATCTTTTTTTTTTTTGGTTTGTGCACACTTCAGATGTGTACACCTGTGGAGAGCAGATGCCGAACATTCACGTGAACATGAACTTGGTTGCAGTGTGGCAAAGAGTTTCAGTAACATAAAGATATTTGGTACAATGATGCATGCTTTTAAGCAGTCATCCAGTATCTGGGACCTGTCCTGGAGAGGTATAGAAAGCCATCTTGTCTTCCATCGATGAAGTTCTTCATCAAAAATATCAGGATTTGGCAAATCTTCCCTATAAAAGTCTATAGCTTGTCTGATGTCAGAGACAGAAAACTCTTGTGTGAGTTTTGATGGCATAAGTTTCTGAATTGATGATGCTTGCTTTACATGTGCATAAAATCTGGAGGAAAGATTACTGATAATGTGGTCAAGAAAAGAAATGTTTACTGTTTTCTTAAAGTAATCCTCTATGGAACTACATTCTGCATTTGCACATTAGGCTTGTCGCTGACTAGCTTGTGGCATGCTAAAACTAACATTAGATTTGTTTGCAATATTACTGCTGTGCTTGAAGATACGATGTGATTAATCATCTACGTTCACTCTTAGTGAAGTCAGTTCTTTACAGCATTGTTATATTAGGGAAGCACCAAAAACAATGGCTTGGCTTGGACCTAGCAAATTCACAGAAGCTTCTTTCAAAGCGAGTGTTGTAAAGTGTTAAACAAAAAAAGGAATTAAAAGGATTCCAGTATTTTTAGATTAGTTGTTGTATTTTCTTATCTTCAGCAGCTCATTTGTCATTAAACATTTCAAAATTATCATTGACATACACAATAACCTCACATATGTGAAGTAATAATGGATGACATAAACTGAACCTTTCTCAACCTTCAATATTCTCAACCCGGCATGCAATGCACACATTGAGTAGTGGAAGAATGTGATGAAGCTGCTCCATGCTGGATGCCCTTTTAATAGGTTGCCTTTAATAGTTTCCCATGTTTAGGTTAGGATTTAATCCAAATAGTTATTGCTTAAACTTGATTGATACAATTTTGTATTGGTGGAACTGAACATGAATTTAATAACAGCAAGATTATGTGAGCAATTCCCACAATGAGTGTACAAGGCCTTACATATCTCAAATTTGTATCTGGACACCAGATCTTTCACCAGCCATGGTGGATGCTCCATCACATCTATGACCATGTAATTCATTTAGAAATAATCCAACATCAATCAATATCTTTGTAACTGCACATACAATATCTGTTGCTCTGACCTTCTGCAGCTTAACAAAGACAATAAATTCTTCTCTAATTTCACAGTTGTCATCTACAAAGCAGAGACATATTGGTAAATGTTCTACATTTTTAGAAGACACTTCATCAGCAAGAACTGAGCAGAATCCAGCCTTTTTCACTTCCTCAATAATTTTTACTCAAATTACATTATATCCCATGACATTAATGATGTCATTTTATGAGCAAGGAGATAAATATGTAGCATGTTTTGCCTTTTGATGATACAAATGAGCTCTCAGTATTTCATCATTTTCAGCAAGGCTAGAAAATTTTCAGGATTTTTGGAAAAATTTACATCTATGGTATCACCACGAAATGCCAAGCCTTGTTTTCCTAAAACCAAAATGGCACAAACAATTTGATGAAGAATATGTTTATTATGAGTTATATATGACTGAAGGGCACTGTTGGTAATAATATCAATTCTACTGGATATTCAATGGAAGCCATAAAATCATCAGCAGCCTGCATAGAATCACGATAATAAACAAGCTCAGAATAGTTTCTTAAAGTATCATTAATTTTTTCCTAGTTGTTAAATGATTTCTTTACAAGTACTACTTTATCACACAGACTATGCACTGGAAGAATGGTAGCACAAGGAACACAAAAAAATGTCATCCAATTTTAAGCTGTATAATAATCATGGGTATTTTTCAAGCCAAGCGATTTTAAACTTGCAGTTATGCTCATAAGCAAAGGTGGTAAGAAAAACGTTTGGGGGTGCCACATGCACATAAAAATAGGAATACTTTTAAGCATTTAATAGATTACTAAATGCTTTGCATTTTACATGTATGGTGATTTTGTTGATGTTAATAAATTGCCAGTATCAATGCATGGCTCTGTGACTAAAGAAATACCATGACAAATCTCTGATGAATCCATGATTGTTGTATTAGCTACTAAAACAGCAAAGCTATTTAGTACTGTACCTTGATCATCATGTGCCAATCTTTTTCTTTTTGCTGGCAAAAACATTCATATATTGTTGCAATCAGTTTAACATTGGTGCTTCAGTCTGTTCAGTAAGAAGTACTGAAGGTCTAATTTATATACTGTGTACTGTGCAGTTTTGCAAGCCATACTCTTACTTGTATAGCAGGTAGTTTCAAATGGGTTTTAAGATTAGTAGAGTTCTTAGCTCCTTCCTAATAAGAAAATAAAACCTACAAAAATGCTTAAATCTCAAACCCACAATCACTTTATTGTTTTATTTCTGTGACACGATGAAGCTTGCTTGTGCTCAAAACTACGTATAGCTGTTAGATATATACAACTGTCTCAGTTTAATTCGAGCATTATGATTTCGATAGTTCATATAGTGTGAGTGTCATTACTAGTTATTTTTAGAAGCAAGAGTTTATGGCAAGTTTGTTTACATAATTGTTTATGAATCATACATTGTGTAGCATGTATGTTCAATTGTTATGAGTTAGCAATTATTATACTGTTGTGTCATGTTACTGGAACACCTTCTGAATTTTTCTCATTGTTTTAACTGAGTATTATTGCATGGAATGTTCTAGACTTCTGTTGGAGTGTAAATATGCATCAAAAGATTAATATTTAGATCTAGATTGTGTAACTGTGAGTTTAGTGATAAAGAGCAGAGAATAATAATTAATCTTGTCAATTATTTTTTAAAGTAATTAAACAAGCCTGTGTGGATACTGATGAAAAAGAGACAATTACTTAAAGCTCTGGATACAACTGTGATAACCAACAGTGTAACAAACATTTATATATATATATTTGACTTGTTTTAATATATTATTTTAAAACAAGTGAACCATACTGCCATTTGTTTATTGTTGAAATTTATCACCAACAAGTAACAGGCACCTACTGTAAAGAATCTGGCCTACAAAACCTGACAGTAGAAATAAGTTCCAGGCTTCCAATTACAAAATGTCAACAGAAGCCACTGCATGCGACTATTTCAAGCCAAAAAATGCTAATGCTTCATCAAAAGAATGTATATGTAGAAAACGTTAAATACCATAAGCTGCATTCATGTTCTCACACTACTGACATTTCCCAAGATTTTTAACACTCCTTCACATAAGTCATCCAATACTGTAATGGTGACTGGAAAGACTGACAGTTAATAATATTACTACAATTGTGAACCCCATGGTTGGTTCCATTCTGATCTTGAATCGAAGATTCCCGACCTCCTGCTTCTGTTACCTTAGCTGAGTCTGTCCCATCTTTTAAGTTTTTCACCATTATTGTTTCCATACCTGCTTTTATTCCCATCCCCTCTTCCTTATGTTGAACAAGTAGTCCCACTTGTCCTTCACTGCTTGGATCCCATGGGTATGTGCCTTTTGTTTCTCTTTCTCATGTAATTTTTTGCCCTCTTCATCTCAGTTTAAGGGGGTCTCCTCTTTTTCCTTCCTCTTTTTTCTCTCTCCACCTATTCATCTTAATCTATTACTCAACTTCTTTGTCGTAATTATGCTTCATCTTTACTTGGAGACTTTCCATCACAATCCTATCAGCTTTACTGGGGCAACTAGTACATAACTGTTTACCACTTTGCCTTCAGTTTTCTTCAATTTTGCTCCAGATACCTTTGACATTTTGTTTCTGGGGGGTAATTTGCCAGATTGTCTTACTTTCTGACTTTTGCTTCCTTCAATCTCCTCTCCAGGACCTCTCTCTTGCCCCCTATCTTTGTGATATGGTTTTTGAGGGTATTTTTTATACATTGTCATCTTCAGCAGTCATTTCTTCTCACTGTGGTTTCTTACAACCAGAGGGACTAATCAGTTTTCTCAACGTATAGGACCACATGAAGTGTATCCTTTCTGAATTCTCCTTCTTACATTTTCTATCTGCCCTAATATGGGTTTTAGATGTCCAATCAATTAGAAACAAAATTATAGATAATGACACGCAATAATATTTGTACCTTCTAGTTTCTGGATTTGCTGAGACACCAATAAATTTGTGAAATCTACAAGACAAACTTCTCCTATCTTATCATAGTTTTCAAGGCAGTAATCTAAACCATTTGTCCTTATTTGATGAACATGTTTGTAATCCACAGAAATATTTTATTATGGTTATTTCTTTTTGGTGGGCATATGAATTTTCATTTCAACAACTAACTTGGTGAGAAGGAAAGTAAGGCTACTGTACCATAGCATTGAGCTCAAAAGGCCTGAACCCAAACACAATTGCTAAATTTCTTATTTTTTAGCATATATATATTTCAAGGAAAGTAACTAAAACATAAAATGTAGAAACTAATCAAGTTATGTAACAATTTCTTATATAATATTAAATTTCGCAAGCTCAGTAGATCTGTAACTCAATCTTGAGGTAAGAGCATGAATGTAATCTGATCATTTGTTTACCCTAAGCTCTACTAGAAACACCTGGTGATAATTTATTGTTTTGCACAAAGAGAGAAAGTTACAAGCTGAAGTGTTAGAAAAAATAGTTGTAATTGTCTGTTACAATTTGAAGTTATTATAGAATGGTATTATTAATTTTATTTCATTTCATTTACATTGATGATTTCAATATAGTTAGTGTTAGGGTAGAGAAAATAACTGATAAAATATAAAGTTTTACTGAATAAACTTTTCATATTCCATTAGCATAATTTCTAGAACCTTCTAAATGAATATCGAAACTGTGAGGTGAAAAGAAGTATTTTTATTCATAACATGAAAAACAACCTTGCACTCAGATTGAATAAGTAAAGGTTTTGGAAATTCACAGATAAATCTTTAGTAGAAATAATTTATTTAAAATACTAATGTTTTGTGTACAACAGAATTGTAAAGAGTACTAAAAGCTTGCCAAATTTCATGAAGATATACTTAGTAAATTCAGTTATAGTATGTATAGTTTCAAACTTCCAAAATGGGTCAAATTGTATCTTTTCATGTTAATTTTTTTTAATACAACAAACTGAAATTGTGGAGAAACCAAAGGCAGTAAATCAAGTCTATCCAGAAAGCTGGATCACAGCCTCAACTATTGTGTAAAAATGAAGGAATACCAAAGTAAGATTAGATACAACAAGAATTATCTTAAAATAGTAATGTTTTATGTACCTGATTTCTTGTAAAAGTGATTCTGCCTTCTGTAAAGCTTTCTCTGGTAGATAACCAAGCCATTTATCAGAAGCTCTAAGTCTCTTTGAAGACTGTTCAAGTAAAGAAACATTTGTCTAAAAAGACAAAAATGTAACCATTAATAAATATATTCTAAATATTAATCATCTATAGCACAAAGAACTACTAATTTTTTTTACTTGAAACATTAATAACTATAATAAAAAACAGTAGGTATTTCATTTTTTTGATTTAGTTACACATAAGAAAGTTATAATTTTCCTCTACTAAAAATGTATTTCTAATAGCTACTTACCTCTACTCACATAAATAGCTATTCTTGTTCCGTGCTGCCCTACATGTGCAAAAAAATTTTTGAGCATGCCACAAGGTTTGAAACTCCCACCCATTTGAAATTGTCTAATTTCAATGCATCTTGCATGCAAATTATCATGTGACAATTCTCCACCAATAACAGAACGACACTCTCTTGACACATGATTCCCTCTATTCAATTCTACCAGACTATCACTTCAAGCATTGGCAGAAAATGGAAGCATTGGATTTCAGAGTTGAAGAAGGGTGGGAAGTATGAGAAGAGGTAAGTACTTATCGGAAATACATTTTGAGTATAGGAAAATTATAACTTCTGATATGGTACATACTCCACTCACATAAATAGCTAGAATCCCACACTGAATAGATGGAGGAACCAGTGTGAGGGAAAGAAAGAAGCATCCTAAGGATACTCCCCACAAGGAGATCTTCAGAGTCAAAGATCATTCGTGAGAGACCCCACTATTTCTAAACCAGGTATACTATTCACCTATTGTGGATAGATGTTGCATATATGGGTGGAAAATTGGAGGAGCACATCCAAATGGGAAATAACTATGGCAGGATAGTGATCCAAACCATACATTATTTATTAAACTCAATCCCGGAAAACATACAAGTGGGTAAGATTAAAGGATGTGCCCCTAGGTGTAGAGTGACTAGGGTGCAACGGACCGTACACAGCAAGTCAACTACATCCAAAACCCATGCTGCTTGGAATCGACATCCACAGGGGGGATAGGATGGGGATCATACCATCAGTAAGTCAACTACGATACAGAGCCCAGCCACCAGGTGCTAACATCCATGTGGGGGTAGAAAAGAGGATCATACTGCAGGCAAGTCGACTACAATCCAAAACCCAGGCCACTGGGGACCAATATCTAAGTGAGGGTAAGAAAGAGGATCATACTGCAGGCAAGTCAACTACAATCCAAAACCCAGCCATCTGGTGGGGGTAGGAAAGAGGATCATATTGTCTTTACTTCAAGTTCATAAAACCAGATAAAATCTCATACCCCCCGATCCATTCACAGGCACGTGTTTTTTATAACAATGTGAGAAATTGAAATTATCAATCCGGGAACCCGACATCCAGAATTGAAAAGATGTTTGTGTAATGTAAACCATCTCACTCAAACATATAATGACAGGAACTGCCCCAAGCACAGGAACATCCTCAGAATAATAATCATCGAGGGATAGCAGAAGGGGAAGAATCGTAGTAATTAGCAAGTACTTCCATTGTAATCCAATACACGGATGGAGTAACAAGAGTAGAAGTGAGTGAATAGAGACATCTGCAATACATGCGTGAGGACTTGTGTTTATTGGTTCAACTCTAAATTCAAAACCCAGCCACTGGGAACCAATATCCACATGGGGGTAGGATGGGGGATCTCAATTGAAGAGGTGAACTGCAATTTTGATGGCTCACTCCCATGTTACATAGTGGAGGAAATCTTGTCATCTACATTGGCAGAACAGCACTGCCCTACTCTCAACTGAATGGTTTTATAATCATTTAGATATCGTTACATCTCTGTTCGTTTGTTAATTTTCCGTAAAAATTCTTTCCGAGGAAACTTTAGCGATACAAGTCCTTTCTTAAATAAAACTAGTTTATTCTTCCAGAATACAACTTTGAAATTCACTTAATTTCCACAGTCACGCTATAATTCATAACGAACGATTAACGCGCTTGACTCAATCTTCTGTCTGCAATTCAACTCCATTGTGGCCGTCACTTCTTGGCGGTCTTATATACATGAATACCACACATCTAGTAAACACTCTGGGCTTCACGAACGGACATGAATTTTCTAGAAGCTCGTGACATGTTACTAGCGTCACATGACTTCCGCTGTCGTAACAATATTATTTATATTTCAATATCACATTCAAGAGGATGCTTCCATGGTCCACCACCCAATGGCTTGGAACTAGGAAGTGGTAAGGACTCTCATACTTTACTAGAAGAAAAGGGGGAGAAAGTGCAATGGAGAATTCTGAGACGGTGACCATGAAACCATATTTTGAAAAGCAAAACATATCGATTTATTCAATATAAGGCATGACAGGGATGAGCAGTTATCCACTTCTACTTCACCCATGTAGTTCATGGGTAAGTATGGTCCAGGATGGGCAAACTTATGAAGCAAACCTATTGTGAGGACAAACCAACAAACAATCTTGTGGAACACTCCATCTCCACATTGTATGTTGCGTGGCCATGGAATCATAATATGTAAGTCGACATGGTCTTACTGTGCAGATATGAACATTTAAAGAATACCTGGTCAGGCATCACTTGCCACAGAGTGGAATCCAGAAAGAAAAAGAGAGGCATGCCCCTGAAAAAGAAGAGGACACAATCTCATGTTTATAGAGTGAAGGATGGCAACAGGTGGATGACAGTACCCAAGGCAGAAAATGTGAGATGAATGTATGAGATGTAGCCCAGTGCTCGACAGACAAAGTACCTCCAACGAACGGCAGGGTAGACATTCAGGGAAAGTGGAAGGTGCATGATCAGAGTGAAGATACCAGAAAGTGGTGACAGAAAGAAAGGAGACACGAAATAAAAGGCCAATCGAATCACAATCAAACCCAATGGGTAAGGGCGGAAGGGAAAAAATTACAGACAAAGCAGTGGAGTAAGGGTAGGATACCATGGAAAATAATTCAACATAAAGAAGCACTGACAACAATGAAGCAACCCACAACGTGTACTGGACAGAGAAGGGCATTTGAATCCTGCCAAGAAAAAATGTGGAGGATGGTAAGAAACGAAAAAGTCAAAAGAAACATACCACACGAGACACTAAAATGTAGGTGAATAAAACTGATCCAGAACAAAAGAAAAAAATTGAGCCCAAACAGTTGAGAAAACCAAAGCCATGCTGGCCAGGAAAGATCATTCAGAAAGACCGGAACCAGAATGACAAGGATACACAAACATTTGGGGATGAAGACTGATAGAATGAGAAAAAAACTAATGTAAATCTGTCTGAACTGAACGACTGCCAGTGCAAATGGATGATGAACTAGAGACCAAAAACAAAAAAGATAACTGGGAAGTGATAAAAGATTCAAAAACTTCACGTGAAGGAGTACCCCAGGAGGCAGAGCCATCAAAAATTAGGAGGATCGAGAGGTCATTCCATGAGAGAACGTGTATCGAATTGGAAAGTCAATTAGCAATGAGGACAAAACACCTAGAACACGACCCTCCAGGAGCCATATGTCAAGTAGGTGGGTTCAAAAAAGGAAGTCCACTGTTTTCCTCAAAAAGAACAGGAAGAGTGTCCCCTTGGTGAATGATATAAGTCACCACCATCAAAAAGTTGAAATGAAACAGGATTAGTCAAACCAGACATGAGGAAAAGTGTGAACTAAAGCACACTTGGACTGGCAGAAGTGCCTGGGTGTAAAGGGGATAGGACCTTTCAACTGTAGACCATTATCCTGAAGCCTCCTACTGATAGGATCCCCCCCCCACCCCACACACACACATTTGGAGGTGAGCATCAGGGAAGAGAAATAATCCAGAAGAGGGGGAAGAAGTGGTAAACACGGTGTCGTGGGGGTTATGTTAGGCCATCAACACATATGGATGAAGAGGAAAGGATGAAAATTAAGAGAAAACCCAAAGTAAAGGCCCGGATAACAGAAAATAGCTTCGAATGCATTCAAGGAGGAGAATGGATGGGCCCGATGGAGGGGGTGTTTAAAAATACACACCACAAAGAGACTATAATTTGAGGTATGTAACAGGAAAAAAACCTATCCAATTTGAAGACCCAACTAGTCGAGTCGACTGGAAAAGAAGTATATGAGCATGTGAAGATAAACCCATTTGGAAGGAGCTAACCTAAAGCAAGACATTCAATTAATTGTGTTGGTAAAATCCCCCAAAATGTGGAAATCAGGTAAAATGCAGACTACCTCACAACCGACATACGGAACTAAAAAAAAAAATTCCAAAGGTCAAGGCATGAAACTGGTACCCAGTCACATGGTGAAAAAAAACGAAGATAAAAATGTGTATTGTGGGCATTCTCAGTCATGCAGAAACAGCTTACCCAAATGTGATCAAAGACTTCATAATAAAACTGGGAAGACTCAAGAAGTGATTGAAGTGGGACCAATCAATCCAGAACCCCTATCAACATCGAGCAAACAAGATGAATGAATAAAACCCATAGGTAAGATAGATAAAGGACCATTTAACCATTGTAAAGTGTTAGGTATCTTATAATTATGTACATTCAAATTTCTTACCTTTTGTGGCATGCTTGGTATTAAATAATTATGTACGTTCTACTTTATTAACCCCTGTGACATGTTTGGTATTTTATAATTATGTACATTATACTTTCTTAACTCCTGTGAGATATTTGGCATTTAGTTGATGATAACTTTAATTTAAAAATAATAATACATTTAACAATAAAACATACCAAAAATTAGATTACAACATAAACACCATATATAATTAGTCAGAAAATTTTTATGCAATAAACATATTTTATATTTGAAAAACAAGAGAGTGCTCTAGCATTAATCATTTAATGTAATTCAATCACAAAAAATAAAACTGAATATAAGATACACAAATGATTTCTAATAACATGGTTTCAATACTTCTTTTTAGTAGCCTACCAGTATATCCATTAGTTTGTAGAGTGGCTTTGGGAGTTTGCTTGGTGTTTCAGTTTTAAGATTAGGTTTGATGTTGTTCTTTTGATGATGACAACGCTTCTCCAACTCAACAAGGCAATATTTCTTTTTTTGTGGAGTAAAGCTAGAACATAACAAAACTACAAAGATTTGACAAGCTTTATTTGATCTTCTTTCTTCCCATCTGTAAAAATTGCATTTCATCTGGTCCTAATTTACAAAACAAAATGCACAGTTTGGAACAATTGAAACAATTAATATAAATATTATAACAATAGTGACACTTTAATGAAAGTATCTTACAGATAAGTGAAGATAATTAATAAAATTAAATCGTGTATGTGATATTTTTGTTTAGTATTACCTCTTATGTAAACAATGTAGTTTAGAAAAAAAAATCCTGAACCAAATGATTAACTAACAACTCTGTATAAACATTAATTATCAAAACTTGCCTTTTCACATTATCCCAACTATTGCCAGATTTTCTACGAAAGATTTTCTGAAATTCTTGTATTGCTTCTGTTAAAAAAGGAAAAGGAGTTTTCTGGCACTGGCCATCATCTCCTACACGTCCCCATTGAGTGAACAACACATACATATCCCTACTCTGGTGTTTGATTATCTGAGAAAAAAACTTAATAATGAATTTTTCAAACAGAATAGTATATTTTATATAATTCATTATCAGTAAACTAAAAGTTATTCTCTTCATCATGTAATGTTAAAAACACATCTTAACATTGCAAATATTAAATACCATGTGTGTACCTAAATATATACATAGATATAAAGATTGGGTTGTACATGTAATATGAGGCTGGATTATATATGTAGTCTGTGTGTGTGTGTGTGTGTGCGTGTGTAACCAGTACAGAAAGTATGCCTCTCATACAAATACTGCAGTTTCATTACTATACTATTTTTTTGTAGAAAAGGACAGTTAATTTCAAACAATGTACTTTTGCAAGTCTAACCAACAGAAAAGGTGACAGTTAAATTAACAAAACCAATAAAAACTTTAAAAGAAAGGATATAAACAGATCCATAAAGAAAAGGAGGAAAGGACTAGACTTCTTATATATATGTTTTCTTCTGAGGATAGTGTAACATACAATAAACTAGAAGGGCATTCAGTAGAGTGCATTACCTCTGCCATGTAGAATTGATCATATTCAGTTCTCAAAAAACATGAAAATGTGTCCATATGCCTGTCATTGTCAAAGGATGTGGACAATTTTTGGCTGGACAATGACAGAAATAATATTCTATATATGTCCATCAAGTTTCATCAAAATCTGATCTTTTATGACTGAGTTATAGAACAAATGTTGTGTGAAAGCTCCCATGGTAACAGATAGGGATTTTTTATTTTCATGACCTTGCACTTTGACCCTCCAAAAACTAACCACTTCCAAGGTGGGCCATAGTCCAACTGTATACCAGATTCGTCTAAATCCATTCAGCTGTTTTTGAGAAATCTTGCTGCCAAAAACACACACATACAGGGGTGAAAACATGGAAGTCATAAATATTACTTAATATTTAGTAAAGTTTTAAGCCAATTAAAGTGGTCACTACAGAGATGAATAACAGCATTAACTCATAATATAAATATAATTTATTGCAACTCTTATTCTAATCACCAAAGGTTTTAAAGCTATACAGGTTTATATCAAATCCAATGGAAGTGAAGAGAGGTAGAATTACCACATTAAACTTTTACCAAGTGTTTAGTATCCGAGTTCTCTGGTGTCAAGAGATCGTTAATTGTTACCTTATACTTGATTATACATTCTGCCACTAAGATAAAGACACTGTTGTGAACATGACATTAGTTCCAGCTATGTTAATCTGGAATGTTTTGTCTTCAAACCAAATTCATAAAACTAACATAAAATACACCTTTGTGTTTAGGGTATTGACATGTAGTTGAATTAGCATAACATAGTTTATGAGTTTTTTTCTGTCAATATCGAGTACACAGAAGTACTTTCTAGACTTTAGTTACTTTGAATAAAAAATGGTTTAAATAAGTCTTTAATATTCTTATAGATAAACATCATACTTCCATGTTTGTACAAATATGAAAATGTGCATATTTTCAGTTGATAACATGAGCTGGTTTTAACTAATTTCTTCATACAGTGCATCATGTAGTGTTTACTTTAACCCCTTATCACATGGAATTTAGGCTGGCTTTAGCTCACTTTTTCATGTAATACATCATATATATATATATATATATATATATATATATAACAGTCAAATGTCTTTCTGTCACACAATTTACCTCCTGAAAGGTAAATTGTGAATAAAAAAAAAAAACCTATCAAAAGGCTTCTATTCAAGAGTACATTACAAAAAAATTATTCATTTTGTGCAATAAAATTTCATATCAATATCAGTATAGATTCATCAGTATTCTTATGTGCTCCATTATCAGTCTGAAAAAAAAAGAATAAAATGTTTTTATAGATGTAATTTTAAGAAAAAAAAGTGACTTTCTCTGTTGACTGATTGAAAGAAATATTTCAAAGATAGGAGCATAAACAGAAAAATGTTTAAAGAGTGTGAATATATATTTGTTGCCATTTGGTTTACAGATAGATTTTTTATTTTTTTGTCACATTGGTAAATATAGATGCATGATTTTATTGTACCATGTTTTGGGTTTAATATCTCCCCTTTGACACTTATAGAAACAACAACTGAGAAAAAGTGCTAACTTTAGTTGTGGTCTTTTCTTGCACTCAGTAAAATGACAAGGAATGATGGCATCCAGCAAAAAACATCCCTATGATTACTTAGCAAACCTGAGCACTCTATTGTGCTGGATGTACTCATTGCATCAAAACTCACAAATTTTTGCCAACAGTGTATTGCAGTCAGTCTCTTTTGCTTGAAAACAAATGCAATGAAATTTTCCTTATTGCAATAACACATGAAATGGGAAACTATGTTATAAATGACCATTAGAAAATAATGTTAAATACTTGCTCTGATCCAAGAGGATTGGGTTGACTAAACATTTTATATCTACTCATCACTATTTTAAAGAAAACTACCATTGAACTGTTTCATGAGGTACCTGCTAGTGTAACATAAATTATCCCTATATCAGCATGGCATTTAATGTATTTTAACCCCATATCAGCATCATGGTGATGAACATACATCAGTCACAATTTTTTTTACAAGACATTATTCTTAAAACACATTGTATCACCATATGACATCCTGGTACATTCATTCACTGTTTTGTCAAGTATATTTACATAAAATTATGACATCAGGCCTTGTTCCAGCTTCTCCCCCTTGGGGGGGGGGGGGGGAGGTAGCAGAGCTTTTGTGGGAGCCACCATACAGTGATATAGATTTCATTTCTGTAATGCATATTAGGGTATAAAAGACATTTCAAAACTAGTAATAAGTGACATATAGTGTTAGTGGAATGCTCTTGAAAATTGATTATTCAATTAAAGAAAATTAACTAGTTTGGTGTTATTAGGTCGTTTATTACTAGTATTAAAGTGATATGGATTTACAGGATAAAGGTAATGTAGCAAACATGTTTGTGCCACCCTAGTTCACTCTTCTTAGTGATTTAAAAACAATCATACAATTTTTTTAAATTGATGATTTTTTAAACCACTAGGGGAAATTAACGTGGGTGGGCCAGAGTGAAATTTGTTGGTGCATAGCCCAACCCATCACCCCCTTTAATGCTGTCCCTGGATGACATGTATTATAAATAAGCATTGTGAAGATCATAAAATTTCACTAATAACAAGTTATAAGTTTTCAGCAAAGAAAAATTTCAATGTATCCTATTTAGAAGTAAATCATGCAGGGGATTGGCAATTTAACCCAGAAGTTGTCATTTTGGCATTTCATTCTGGACATTTAAGTCAGACTTTTCCTGTTGAATTATGTTACTGTTTTATTTGTATTACGAGCTGATATATCCGTCCTTCATCCGGGTTATGAACTTTAAAAACGTGGGGTTGGAATGCTATGATAAATACAAGCACATTGAGTGTACCTCGAGGTTGTAGAGGAGCAACTTTTTCTGAGCACCCCTGGTTGTCTAACAAGCCCCTTTGAGGGTTGTTTGATTTAAAACCTTAATTACTCTAAATATAGACAGAATTTATTAATAAGTATTATCAAAGTATTTATTATTACCTCACCCAAAGTTTTATATAAGGTTTAGGAACTCACTATGTATATACTTAAAACATGGTATAGACTGTGGGATGGTCAGGGTGACTTTGTAGGAAGAGGTATCAGCCAAAGTAGAGGCAGTAGTAGGGGTGCTTTCTGTTACCTACTTTCAACACCCAGCTCTTAGTGTCCTTCCATAGTGTTTCACATGATTAATTAATTGACAGTCATTAACCGCAAAAGTGTCTTACGGGCCGAAGTTAAAAGGTCATGGGTATAACTCAACAAATGGGTCTTCATATCAGCCTTATTGTGGCCATTGGAGTAGAAACTTCAGCTGAGTTTATGTATTATTATAATAGTGGCAGCCATTTTTTTTTCATTTCATTCCTTTATAGAGAGTGTTATCACACTCTCTGAGATATATAAGACGTTTGTGTGCCCTCCGCCTCACATTGTGTGTATGTTGTGTTGTAAAAAACTTAATAACGATATTTTTGGTGTAAGGATGTAGTGCAATATCTATGAATGTAGTTAATACAAATTTATGTCAAAGATAATAAATGCTCAATAACAGCAATAATGGGGTGGAGAGGGTTGTGCTCTCCCCATTAACACACCCCTTATTCCAAACTATCATTCCACAAAGTTAAGTTCAGATTGGTCCAGTAACCTAGGAGTAGTTAGATAATGGACAAACAGACAGACACACAGATTCTTGTGCTTTATACTATATATATATATATATATATATATATACACACACACACACACACATATGTATGATGTCTTATATTTGTCTGTTTCCTTTTGTCTTCTGAACATTTTGTTCGCAAATGGGAAACTAATATGATTTCAAATTTTACAAATTTAATTACATCAGCCCTCTACTTTAACCAGTGTACCATGATTCAGACTGTATGGGTTTTTCATTGCATATTTAATTTTCTTATACAGTATTCAATGTAGTGAAATCTATACAGCAATATTTTGACATTTATTTACTTAACAGAAAATTATAGTCAGTAAATCAGTTACATGTCAAAAATAGTCATAATTTTTAAATAACTACATAGAAAAAAAAGTAGTTTGGGTTTCAATACTGAGGAATTGTTTGTTGTTCATATAAAAAAATTCAAATAAGAGTGCTGTATATTAAACTACATTTCATCAATCATTATAGTTGCATACAAACACTGAATTGTTAGAAAAGATTCAGAAGAAGGCTACTAGGATGACACCTGGCATGGTAAGGTTAACATATGAGGACAGGTTAAGATCTCTGAACTTGTTTTGTCTCAAAAAAAATGAGTTAGAGGAGATCTAATTGAGTTGTTTAAGAATGTTAAGAGAATTGATAGAGTTGATGCATCATTTTTTTTCATATATATTGGTGAGAACAGTAAGACTAATGGACACACATATATAAATTTTGGCAGGGAAGTAGTCATATTC